AAAAATAATAACTTTACGACAAAGCCACCACGGCAAATATGACACTGGAATACAGAGGTCCTCCAACAGATGTTCAAGTGGGACATTTTTCATGCATTCACCCCCTCCCTTTTACACACACACACACACACACACACACACACACACACACACACACACACACATGATCGAAGAGTATGCAAGTAATCGTAAAAGAATATTATTGAGCACTGAAAAATCACAGTGGAAAGAAAACGTATTCTGATAATCTGTGCAAAGACATTACAAGTTGTGCAAACACATTACAAGTTGTGCAAATATTCACTCTTGGTAATAACAAATAATATAAAGCTGCATGCTGTAGTCGACAAAAGCAAAGTTATTATAGGGAACAGCAATAGAAGGGATTTTGCGATGTCAGTTTTGCGGTTCTACAAAACTTATCATGAAGCAAGACGCGGCCATACTTTGAACTCTTTGTGTATGCCACGCCAGTTCAGCGGGCTCACGGCATCCCCCAGTAGTTTACACTCATTGCAAACATCTATCAAATCTCAGCAAAATCATCTTATCTTTAATCAAACTGACGGACTGATCTTTCATTTCTTCTCAGATTGGTGATTGATTTGTGCAAATAGGTGAATTAATAAATGAGCTAAACGTTTTTAAAACGAACAGAGGAATGTGAACAAGCTATACCTCATTTATTAGTTACCCTAAGCCCACAAAACTTCGCCAGCGACCAAATAAAGATATTTTGTTTTAATCTTGATCCAGCAATAAAAATGTATAATGTATCTATTTGGGCACAATATTAAAAACCGCTATTCGGATGCGTATTCGGGATCACTAAAATAAACTATTAACAGTAACCCAGCCTACAAATTGCTAATATTGAGATAGCGACACCACCCTGCCTCCACATTTCAATGTAAGCTTCTAGATTTCACCCCATTACTGTGATATAGAAGTCTCTACGTGAGTCTCGAAAGGTACTCACCCATCTGTTGTTCCGTGTTTCTTAGGCGAACGTTAAACTTCGGTGTTGAGGAGAAAAGGCCAACTTATTACCTTGACCATCAATGATTTATTGATAGAGGCACCAGCCATCCATGTCCAGGTGCTGTTTTAGCCAACTTATTAATGTTCTAGGTGAATGCTGCAAACCCCCTATTATTTTTTAACCCACTGAAGGCTAACATCAAAGAAAATGTGTCGGATCCTTAAGTTAGAGGTGGCCTTCACAAAAGGGCTTTTAGATGATTATGTTGGTCATCCAACTTCAAGACCCGCATGCAAAGACCTGAAAAGCTGAAAAGGTTAAACAGAGCGATTTGTTCATGTCTTGTCTCAACCGGGGTCAGAAAAAGAAAGTGAACGCGCTATAGTAAAAATATCGCCAGACTGCTTAGCGGGCGAATCCTTGTGGAGATAAACTTGTACCGTACCTCACAGCTCCTCAAGTAAAAATCACCCGACGGTGTTTACACAGGGGAGTTAAACCACAAAATCTTCTGTTTGCCTCTACTACATAGCTTATTCTGTGTTATGTCCCCTTTTCATTATTGATAACTTTTAACAATTCTGCAATATTGCCCTGAAGAATCTCTCTCTCTCTCTCTCTCTCTCTCTCTCTCTCTCTCTCTCTCTCTCTCTCTCTCTCTCTCTCTCTCTCTCTCTCTCTCTATCTATCTATCTATCTATCTATCTCTCTATCTATCTATCTATCTATCTATCTATCTATCTATCTGTCTATTTATCTGTTTCTCCCACTACCTGTCTCGGTCAGTGTTTCTCTCACTTAGGCTACTCCAGTAGTCCACGTAGTTGCACGGACATTCATGTTGTTCTCCAGCAGGACTTGTGGCCGATCGGGTTATTGGTTTGCTATTATGACGCGCTACAACAAGTCTACAATCACGCTGAACGAGATCTCAACCACAACAAGTCTACAATCACGCTGAACGAGATCTCAACCACAACAAGTCTACAATCACGCTGAATGAGATCCCAACCACAACAAGCACAGACTTTTTAAGAATACGGTATCCCAGTTTCCTTGAGTATCAAATAGTTTATAACTTTAATAAAACCTTTCAATTTTTTTATAACTGCTTTCTCTCTTTAAATTAATATACATGTATATTGCATTCGTCTTTTGATTTGATTTACCACAGACACTTCGTCACACAGAAAGAGGGATTTCGATTAACTCTGTGATAGATTCATTGGGCCATGATGTCATAATGTGCACTGCATTTCAATCAAATTAAATGATCAAAATAAGAATATACCTACAAGCACAGTAGGCCTACCACACTACCATGTGTTGTTAAAACAAGACGTTTAGGCGAAAAGGAACAAAACAACAACCCCCCGTGACAAAAAACTACGACGTAGACGCTGCTTGCAACAAAAAGAGAGACATTTTTGTCTTTCATAAAATAAAGCAAGAAAAAAAAATCAGAAATCAGTATTTGAAAGAAAATATTTTATCTGTTTGTTTTGTTTGTTTGTTTGTTTGTTTGTTTGCTTGTTTGTTTGTTTGTTTGTTTGTTTGTTTGTTTGTTTGTTTGAGTAAAGAGAAGAACATCGACACAATAATAATGTTATTGTATCCGGGGGAGAAGTACAGAAAGATAGAGAGATAGAACTAACAGAGGGAAAGTAGGGATCGGAGTTGGACCTACCATGCAGTGGCGCCCTCCGACCACCCGCGAAAATGTACTGACTACCTCACCGGGATGGACATATCGGGCAAAATGTTGAGTGTGTCAGTCAGACTGTTTACGGGACTGAATGTTGATAACTTTGATTAAAAGATTTTTACAAGTTCATAATGAATTGTTTGTGTGTTCTTTCTCTTTTTGTTTAGTTTTAGTAAGGTTTTACCTCGCTCGCAACTGAATAAGGTCATATATGAGTATGAGCGCCACCACCAAGGGGTGGATGTCAACAGAGAAGTAAAAACAAAGAATCAGACTTACTCTGCTCACCTCTGTAGCCTCAACAGCACAAAGTCTGTTTTGACTATCCAGGCACCCCGGAAAATAGCGGGTCACAAGAGAGTGACAAAAACATACACAATAAGTAGAGGGGAAATGACGACAGTATCGATGAGGACAGATAATGCAACTAAACGAAGAACTGCAAGAACGTAATTTTAGGGGAACAAAATTTTTCGGGGGTTACTTCCCTTTGATATACCTGCAAAAACATTTTCTGTTAAACCCGGCTGAATGTCGTCTGTGATGCACTAGTTAGGTTCTTCGCTGTCGCACGCTGGCGACCCGAGTTTGATTCCCAGTTGAGGAGAACATTCTTATCGAGTAGGCTATCTCAGCCCTTTAGCTGAGATGTTTTATCCCTTTCAGCTTGGGCTGGCCCTGGCAGGCAGTATCAGAAGCTCGTCTCATAAATGGTCTAAATTAGTTGGTTGGACCGTAAAAATACCTATATTTAAATTAAATAAAATCCGACTGGGAAAAAAATTTAGCGTACGTACTCAGCCAGGCCAAAATTCACAGGTTAAAAAATCCAGCTTCAGATTCAGAGTTGCCACCTCGTATTTGTGAACTTTCCGTGTTGTGTTTTACTGAGAGTTGTGAGGAACTTGCAAAACAATTAGATCATATAAGTTCACATGCGGGAAGTTTTTTGTGAGTTTTTTTAAATTGAGTATCTCTGTCTGTCTGCTGGGAGTTTGTATGTCTCTCTCAAAGTTCACAGTCTGTTGTGTTTACCTTGATTTGCTTTTCTGTTTTTAAAAGTAAGTCTTAGTTGGAGTGTGTAAGAAGATGCTGGTGTATTTTGTTTTCTCTGCTGTCCTTTTTTTAGTTTTCGTAAGAGTTTTACGGCACTTGCAACATAATATGGTCATATAAGTGTCGAAGAATAGATGTGTTACAAGACAGTAACATAAACAAAAAAGAAGGAGGAGAGATAAGGACAATAGATGTTTGATAGGACAGAAGGAGCAAACTACACAGAGCACACGTCAAACACCTACCATTGCTCCTTATCTAAGGAGAGTCCGCGATCTGTGAATGTGGACACGACCAAGAAGATGCCAACCATTCCTTCAGCACTGCCCGCGCTACGCCACCCTTCGTACACAGACGTGGCAGAATGTGACCCCTCTTGAGAGAAAGCTCTTCTATGGCAGTCTCTCAGATTTGAGGCGGACTGCACAGTCGGTGCACGACATCGGACTGACTGTCTAGCTGCTGCCATCGAGAACAAGGAGGATGTCCTTATGTGTATACAAATAACTACAAAAATGAATACACACATA